ACACATGTCAAATTACCTTTTAAGAAAACGATAAAAAGTTACACTTAAGTTGCTAATAAATGCGTCTAAAGGTAACGGATAAGGTGCAAGTACGCCAGAAGGTATAGAGAGGAAGAATTCGAGAAGAGCGAACATTGAATTTGCACAAGACGATTTCTAAAAGATCATATGACACGAACTAGACACCTTGCAATTACACCCGTGAGCACGTAATATATGCGATGTTCCAATACCATCCCAACCCCGGTCAATTTTTGCTTTAGCACAAATCTACCAAGAAGTGTGTAACCCTTTTTGCCGAAGAGTGCACAAAGTGTGGAAGGAGATACAAAAATTTAAGTCAATATAATTCACTAAAAAGTTGATGATTTGGGCTCTAGGGTAGAGTCGAAAAAATCAAAAGTGTTACAAATTTAATCGTTACAATTTTATGAGGTATGCATATCGTTTTACCTGGTGCAATGTTATTCTTCAATTTCTGAGATCTTTGTCATTTACCAAAATTTTGATAATGAATTGCAATTGTGCTACGTAACACGTTTTTACAATGTGTACAGTATAAATGTTCATCGAAAGATAATGGTTATTTGACTCATTTTTGCATTCGTTAGCATAAACCCGTCTAAGCCCATGTCGTTTTTGAAGTGAAGCGACTTGAGGAACTTCGAAGTGTGGAGTGATTGATAGATCTAAAATGACGATTTATTATCGAGAAGGATCTATTAAATAATAAGCTGCACAATATTGAGACCGAGTATTAAGGCCGAGTAGGTCAAAATAAAAAGACCAATTATACAAATACTGGAACCGAGGATATACAGGGTGGTAAAGGTTGAGAGAATGACATTTGATCGACGTGATCGACGATCAGGGTGATCATCGATCAAAGTGATCGACGATCGATCTCTTGCAGAGCACATATGCGAAGGAATGACCCACGGAATGCAGACGACACGTGGTAGCATACCCTAGTGTTTATACAGGCACAATAGTAGTTTTTTTTTGCTCGGTCAACATTGTATAAAGTTCTACTTGCTTCGTAGTGCAACTTTCAATTTCTCTTCGAGGCTGGATTTTTGGCCTCCCGACGTCAAAAAATTCTCACATACTGAAATCAAGTAAAGTCTCCTGATAATCGGCTGGGGATCAAATATTCTTATGACAAACCTGACTGCAATTGGACGCAGCAAGATAGTACATTACCAGAAGCAAGATAGCGAGGCGGCTCAAGTAGTCAGAAGGTCAAGAGTTTTAAGCATATACAAATTGAGCAATGCGATGTCGTTGAATCTTGGTGAATTACATCAAGAACCCTAACAGCACACCTGTCATCGCGTGAAGATTTCCGCACGATCATAACAACTCATCCTCAGCACGTTCTAGTGCAACCGGCCTACTCTGCGGGTACACAAGGTGAGGAAAACATACATCCACACGAAACCGAAGTACCTTATTGGTTATTCGGTCGTATGGGACCCAGTGGAGAGCTAGCTTCGCCTAATGAAATGAGCGATCGCCACGCCACCACAAAACCATTGACCAGAAAATGTTATAATATTGTAATGTGCCGCGGTTTCACGCGAATTTTGCTTTCTTATGAAAAGATTATTAGATTTTGCAACCTGTGTGCGGCACATGACACTTCCACAAAACGTTGCTGATATATGAAAAAACTAATGGATTTGTTTCCAACGTTAGCGATGTCTCAAATTTAAAATCTGGAAAAAAAATTATGATGATTAATAAAATGCATTGACACCGTAACCTTTGCGGCGCCACTGTCTACATTGCATATAATATGGTCTTCTGGTCTGTTTAAAACATTTTTGTGCTAATAAGGGTATTGTGGTATTTTGTGACCGCTAAAGCTTGACGATTCACAATTCGCTATATTGGACTAAAATGCTGGTAAAGGTACATTGTAATTGTATAATGATCTTTGAGTCTCCAAAAAGATTGTCAATGGGAAATATGCTGACTACACACACACATCACGATTACGATTTGGACTTCCAGCTTCCAGGTACTCGGCACACGTCCATACATGATTTAAATAGCCGCAGATCTGTGGTTGGTCTAATTTTTTTTTTATTTAAAAATATTGTACGCAGCCCTTGTGCTAGTATGTATTGGTGTTGGAGCATAAAAATTCTTTTTGCGAAATTATAAAATATATGTGCATTCCTCTATTGAACATAATCCGATTTTTGTGAAGTTGCTTACTGACTGTTGCAATCCGTTGAGACCCCCTTTTGTGACCAAAGATTTGCTAGACATATGTCACCGATCGGAATGTCACTGTCTGCTTCACTGCTGCTCATAACAGGATAACTCAATTTTTAGTGTGCAAGCATATATGTTACGGAATAGGCATGATCCAACTTATGATAGCGACTACAAAAATGGAGAAATCAGATGCCATGGCAAAAGATCTTTTGGCCGTAATTTATTAGAATCATTATATTAATTGATACAAAAATACCTATCAATATAGTGTATTTCGTGCTGAAGACAAATAGCGCCGCGCTTCTATAGTAGGGTCTATTCTACGGTCGAATGACCCGAACCATGTAAATAGGACACGCTTACGAGAAAAGAATGACTTGAAGAGTTCTGGTGCGCCGTATCAGGACGTCGAATCACTCTTTAAATCAAACGCTACTCGTACTCCAATGCATAAAGACGTGTCTCTTCACCTTTTCAGATATTATTCAAGTCTGAGCCTAGGATTCTCGAGCTATTGTCATTGACTTTGTACATAACCCCCACGTCGGATTTCTCCGTCGTCGGTTTTCAATGCCGCACGACAAAAATAAAACATATAATCTATATGAGAAATTGGTTTCTGAGATGTGAGGTCATCGGATAATACCGATACCTGATTATGTGGCAAACGTAATCTAAATCAGTATACTCGTGGGAGCATGTTACATATCACTGGCTATATGTTCTAAAAAAAAGTAACAATTTTGAATTGCCTCCGCTAGGGTTTACCTATTGCCATTAATGCTTCTCACTTGATAATATGGAATCAAGTGGGTCCGTGACATGGTCTCGCGGCTACATGGGTAGATAAATAAATTAGTAAATGACTAGAGGGAAGCTCACAGTTTTATCGGATGCTAACTGCAAGTGTCTCGTGGATTTTTCATTCTTAAAATCCGATCCGACCATAAAGCTAATACTAACATCCTAAGCGCATACGTGCTACATAAGCACTTTCTTTAATCAGCCATCGAATGACCACATTTTATTCTTTTCTACCGCCCCTACGGCAAATATAAGGAAATTTGTGCTGTATATGGCACCCAACGACGATCCACGTGTAAGCTACCAGTCCCGTACCTTGATTGTCTGTTCGATTCAGCTTGTGGATTAAAAAGCTATCCCAAAAAACCTGCCACTTGTCTATATAATCAGACGTAATGGCCGCCAAATTGTGGACGAATGTCTGACGAGCTCGTTTTTTTATGTTTGAATGCGTAAATACATGAGCTCTAGGACCCTGTGTATTTGTTCATCATTTCTTGGCGCTGGGCATCATCCTTCTTTTTAGTTATAGGTGTTGTAGGTCCTAGAGTGTAATCTCAATGACCCATTTGACTATAGGTCTGGCTTTCTACGTAGCGCAGTAAGCGCATTAGTAATCGATTGTTAAGGAGCACCTCAGTACATCAAGTGAACGACTCGATATGTCTGCGCACACTAGTATGATGATTCGACACGTACAACATCCTTTGTTAAGTTTATGTCTTGTTTGTCATGATCCAACTCATGCACTTTAATCAGAGATTAATTATCATGATTCGGCTGTTTACAAATTGTGTATTTTATACAGCCTTGATATGAAGGGACAACAGCCTTAATGCAAATCTGGATTAAGTAGCGTTGTGTCTCAGAGTAAGTCTGGTGGGGGGTATACTGGGGTCAGACAGCGGTTGTATAACCAGTGGGTAGCATGGAACGCAAAGTCACTAGAATGTCTTCATGTAGGTGGTAAGTGTAATCTAGCACGGTAGCCTATCGCAAAATTAAACGCTTTATATAAAAAACGTTGGTTTTTTAAGTAAATAAACTTTTTATCGTATAATTACTATTTTTGACAGATAATCTAAACAAATAATCTTTATTTTAATATTTTTATCAATCGAAATTAAGAATAATTTAAATTCTTGTTTTATTTAAGTAGGGAAAATTTTTGTTACTGTATCCTGTCAATTGTAGTACAAGAATTAACGAAGCAGCACTAAACAAGATGTAATAAGAACTGACTGGTGTGTCACCCCATAAATAGTTCTGCATAGTTCGATTATTACATGAGTAAATCAACCATTTACTGTTGGATAATTAGGACTAGGGTTACTGACCTTTGTCATTGATATTTTGAAGCTCATTTATAAGTAGATGAGCCTAATCCTTCACGGTTCAATTACTTTTGATCACTTTGGACTTGCAAATAGCTCAAGATGTGCAGCTTTTACTGAATACGGGGTATCCTAACGAATACTTTATTCTTTATTTTGTATATATTTAGGGAATTGCTAAATTCACACACCTTTTCCTTAGATTCACACCCTTCCTTCAAAACCTTATATATAAATTTCTATTCATTTTAAGATTTGTTTTCTAGCCTTTAAATCATTAAAAGACGTTACACGCAAGTCGAGAAGACGTCGATTTTCATGCATCTCGTACATAACATACGCTCAATAGTTGAGGGTAGCAAACTGACAGGCTGTCCGTGAAGCATGCTCTAAAGTCTGTAAGCAGTCGGGGGGGGACGAAAAAAAGCGTGCAGTACTTAAATCCGAGCCGAGGCTCTTACGGATCTGCTCCGTCACCTTATGCATTTCTATCTATCTATTTATTTATATCTTATTATCGATCAATCTAATTATATCTTTTATCTAATTATATATCTCTATCTAATGATTTCTCTTTTCTATAATGTTGATGCAGTGGAAAAGACTTTGCAGGCTGTCGAAATAATTACGAAAAAAATGGCTCCCAAGTCGTGGGCTGAAGCGGTGGGCATTGACAAGACTCAGCCGTTACTGGAAGGAAGTGGACAGGCGACGTCATGGCCTATTGCAGCTGCTGGTGATGGAAACGCAGCAGCTGCAAAGATAGTGAGGGATCCAACGAAGCCGGTTATATTTAGGGACGTGATTCAGGAGGCACATAGTTGTTTGGACGTGTCGGCACCAGCTGAAGAAATAAAAAAAAGAGGTAGAAAGAAGTACATTACAAGGAAAAGAGTGAGCAAGGAGAAGGTGCTGACGTTGTGGTGGTTGTGGATATTATAATGCTGCAGGGGGCTGGTAAATCAAGGCAACACGTGCTTTCAGAATGTTATCATGCAGTCTGTGCTGGCTTGTCCGCCATTTTTAAAGTAAGTTGTCTTGTGCTGGGCGGCTACTAGTGTTCCCTTTGGTGTGCTCACTGTGTGCAGTTTGTTGGTCGAGATTTCGACTACTTGTCCACCAACGACTTCAATATTGGCGAGTACATCGACGTTCAAACCGTGGCGACACATGGTGGCGTTTACGCGCGAGTTTAAAGAACAGACACTGGATCAATGTACGTCGAGCATCGTTTTTTGTAGGTGTTGATGGCGTAAGCGTTGTAGGCAGTGCCAAATGATAGTGCGTCGTTTAGAATAGTTTCGATGAAACAATGCAGGCTCAAGTCAGTCACGGTGACCGAAAGGCCAACGATATGCATGGCAAAGCACCACAGACGATTTGTATCATCGGGTACTTCATGGACGTATTAAGTGCTTTCCAGAAGATGCGCGGAGAGCAGGAAGATGCACTGGACTTTTTGGAGTTTTTCTTGGAGTATTTGCGCGCAGAGTACGAAAACAGTGGTCTACGTTTGCCTGCCTCGTGTGAAAAGCAGACAAAGCGGGCTCCTATGATCGAGCAGAATGAATCTAGTGTGGACGCGGACGCTAAGAGTGCTCAAGCGTTCGATGACGACTGGGCAGAGGTTGGTAAGAAAGGCAAGAGCAGCGTGCTACGTCAGAATCCTGTTGACACTGTCCGCTCGCCGATAAATTGGATGTTAAGGGTGCACGACGCTCCGGGCTGAAGCAGATCGGCAAGAGACAAAGTTCGATTACTGTGGAACCGTTTCACTGCTTACACTTGAACCTTGATTACGAAACACAAAACCCATCGCTTGTTACAGGCGAGAATGGCACGTTTAATTCAATCGACGCGTCAACTACTGTTGAGGAGATGATCCGCAAAATACTCGACGTCGAGGTGATCGAAGACGCCAATCAGGTCCCTACGATGAAGAAGTACACGACAGTGGAATCCCACCCCCATTGTGTTGACGCTGAGCTTGAAGCGTATTACATACCATCCGGAACAGGGACCGGTCAAATTACAGCATATGTAAAGTATCCGAATTTTTATGGAGTTCTTAACGCAGCTACTGTCAGCTGCTTGTTGTGCGGACAATAAATTGGACTCGTCAGGTGCTGTGCCCGTCAATGGTTCTGGCCCGTTGACTCCTCTTCCTGTGTACGAGTTGTTTGCAGTCGTGTCGCACCTGGGCAAGTACGTGGTGGGAGGTTAATACACTTTCGTTTGCCGCGACAACAAAGACCAGTGGTTTCGTTACGATGATGAGCATGTAACATCTCGGAGGCTGCGGCGCTCACTGAGGCTGCGGCGCTCAGTGAGACTGCTTACTTGTTGCTCTACATCCGAACAAGTGAACAGCCACCCGAACCGGTTGTAGTGCCACCCTCGCTTTCAAGCTCCCCTTTTATCAAGGCGGTGAGCGTCAGTGCTCCAAGATGCAAAAGTAGCAACGTCACCGGGAAAAAAGTTCCTGGTGGAAAGAATCGGAAACAGCCCGCATCTGCGTCATCAGTACTCCTTGGCACCTCGACTGATTCCAGACATGTCTCCAACAAAACAAGCTGTGGCAACAACATCGAAGGCAAAGAAGTCTAGTAAGAAGAAAGCTTGAGGGGGGGGTAGATAGCAGCCAGGGTAGTGAGAGATAACTGCGTGCTAAGAAATAACATTTCATAACGAGAAACTAATTTGTTACCTTGAGTGCACACAAGGAGTTTTTCGTTCGGATAGAGTTCCACTGGAAAGTCGTTGCATCGTGGGTCTTGTAGAAGGTGCTGTAATAAATTTTGCTAATAGACGATTGACACAAGGTTAACACGAGAGTGCCTCTGGTGTACTCGGTTGACTTTCGACACATTGCACTCATGACATTGACTATGTTGTCACGAATGTGAGTGCGTCAATGGATACTAGTATAGTTTGCGAAGGGATCTGCGTATTTAAGGGCTTGTGAATCTGGCTTGAGATAGCAGTGTTGTTATTGCTAGCGAGTAGTTTGTGCTGTCTACTTAACGGTGACCTCGTGTTGTGCCCGGGGACAAGACGGCGTCCAGAGGCGTGGCTATTATTACAGAGCGAAGGATCTAACTTGCGATAGACGCAGACTCGAGTAGGTTTGCTGATACGACACTTGATCTTGCTAGCTTACTTTGAGAGCAATTCTGCATAGCTCGTGGATGATGACGTCTATTATATCTTGACATGTTGTCCAGCAAGTTAACAAAGCGTTCGAGGATGTATGCGCCTTGTCGAAACTGAGGCAGCGGATTCTGTTTGATCGAATGCGAGGTAATACAACGTGGAATCCGGAGTTTGTACTGCCTACATGTAAGTAGACCACCGACAGTGTTTTCGCACGACGGACTTGTCGCCGCTGGATTTTCGCGTTGCTCTAATCAAATACTCTGCAACGGTTTCCATTTCATCACGTGGCATCACACTTGCATTGATTTCAGTATTGGGACGTGCAGGATCTGTCACGCTCAAGCAGTTTCACCAAAATGAAAAACTGAGAGGCGCTTGTCACGAATCCAAATATACCACAGTACATTTCATCAGCCACAAAACATCATGGCGAGCCACGCGACCAGTACACTAACATGTAGGTAATGAAAGCATATATTTCCGTGCGAGTTTACTAGCGACCGGTGTTCGGAGTCTCATACCGTCGGCAACTCAGGGACTTCCCGTGACTTCTAGGATTTGATACATACCGTTAGCAACACAGGGACTTGCCGTGACTTCTGTGACTTGACGTGACATTGTAAGCACACAACGTCGTCACCTCATCGACCCCTTTGACAATTTGTTCACATTCGTTTTATCGAGTAATACCTTTGTCAGAAAACAAATCTAAAAATGAATAGGGATTTTTTATATAAGGTTTTGAAGGAAGGGTGTGAATCTAAGGAAAAGGGGTGTGAATTTAGCAATTCCCTTTATTTATAATCATTTAAAAATATGGAAGGTATATATATTACGGTAATATATAGGGGGTGGGGGGTGGTTAACGAAAACCTGGGGGGTGGTTAACGTTTCCCTTTGTTTTCTAACAAAGGTATTACTCGATAATCTAGGCCATTTATTGGCAAGTAATACGTAAGAAATACCTAAGATACTGCTCACGCCTGTGGTCACAGTAACCAATGGCGTGAGTATTCTCAGCCAACCGTCAATTACATATTCGAACTTGCACAGCTACAGCTAGAGTGACGCCTGATATTTTGAAAATGTATATGCCAAAGCCAATGTGATGAATTTGCTATCGTAAAACCTATGGGTGATTATAATAAACTGAGCATGGCCACTTCGAATAAGTTAACGAGTATACCGTTTTCGTACTCTTCCGCGTCCTTGCCCTACTCGCACTACATTCGTACGCTAATTACAACTACTCCCAGCACGTCACCCATCTTCCCACAGCCGAGGGCACCACCGTTACCTGAAGCATCTCTGTCTGCACCAAGCCTTACGACACCTAACTTCAATAGCTGCCGCAATACCAACTCGGTGTGTTCGACGATTGAATTGGGGGCGCAACATTATTGCGGTAGTGAGATGTGAATGAGCTGGAGGGATAGTGTAGCACATCTCGGGCGTTAACGCTGAGTTGAGATGCGTTCAGCACCACACCCTTAGCACAGCCGACGTTGCAGTCAAACCCTTCACCGGTATCTCCACTCACGTTGTTAGAGATCTGAAGATTCTGCCCTTTCCCTCGTTCCTCGTCGTTTTTTTCGATGCTTATATCTTGCATCGACCGCCGGATAGCTTCCAAGCGCATCAGTTCCTCTAGCCGCGCAGCGTCTGCGGGTGTTGTCGCAACGCGGGACGCTACATCATTCAGCGCTGCGACACGATTCGGGTGTGGACTGTTGGTCTCAGGCTTGTCGCTGATGCTAAGCTGCAAGCGAAGCGAATTGCGCATCCGATCACGGTCTTCCACTGACGCGTACTGCACACTCTGCAAACTTGACGTCAAAGTGCACTCTGTTTCTGTAGCTTGGGGATGCCAATGGCGCTACTTCGACGCGGAGACATTCCGTTCTACAATAAAATACAAAACACGAGGCTCAGCACATAATCGCACAGTGAAAGAAGAGAATCAGGGGCTGCGCTTACTGTCACAAGTGGGTCGAGGTGAGCTCTGTCGGTGTCAGTGGCGTGTACAGGACAGTGAACCCTTCATTATAGCAAAATGGACAGCTACAGACAATCCACACAAAAAACACGTGAGTCAGAAGCCATCAAACTCGGGTCTCTGGACGGCAAACTGTCATCACGCACGAAATTATCTTGCGTGGCGGCCGAATCTTAAGATTGCACTCGGAGCAAATGGGTTTCTTGCAGCAGCTCGACGTGTTCAGACTCCCGGGATAGAACTAGAAACAACGTAATGTTATGCAGCGCCAACCGGTCAATATATGGTCCACCTTGGCAGTCTCCTTCCGTCTCTCTCTCACCATAAAGCAGATCGGACACTCGAGAGTGAATCCCCTCTCCTGCATCTCTTTGCCATGAAAGCGCGGCGCCAATTTGTGGTCGACGACCAGACGGCGCGCAATCTTAAGCTCCCACGGACAGCTCGGGTACAGCCTAAACGACAGCAAAGTCAATACCCAAAGGATGTTACGTAGATGGGTACGGCAAACGTACCTCGTCGGCTTCGTGTACTTCTCGAGCTCGCGCGTCGGAGGTATTATCGAGTAATATTTATTTGTCAGAAAACAAATCCCAAAATGAATAGGAATTTTATATATAAGATTTTGAAGAAAGGGTGTGAATCTAAGGAAAAGGGGGGTGAATTTAGCAATTCCCTATATTTTTGTAATTTTATACATACTAATCTGATAAGGAGATGCAAGAGCTACGTAAGACGGAGGTTCTATGGTAGACTGATACGTAGATACGTATTTTTGCAACCGTGACTCTCGTACTACTTGTGAGGTTCGTCACTTGCTCGCTTGTTAAGACTAATTGCAGCAACAATTATGTCAGTAAAATATAATTTATGGTTATTGTGCGCTATGCGATTCCTCAAACCGATCTGAGGTTAGGTTGCCTAAATGTAGATGGTGTTTTGTGTACACCAAAACAAACGTTGACACATGTAGATTACATCACGCTTTGAATTCATTTATCAGACTTCAGAATACCGAAAAAGCTAAAGCATGTACCACTTAGTATTATCCCCGTCCTATTACAAGCTTGTCACAATGCGTTTCCATCATTCAAAAACAAGTCCAAATGATATAAAAATTCGAATCGTATTGGCGTCTTAAATGAAAACCTTTTTAAATGTTCTAGGTGCACATCATTTGTAAATCTCTTGAGATGTTAGCAAATATAGACCACCACAAAAAAAATTACAGATTAGAACAATGTCGTACAGATAGCTACCTAGATAAATAACTTGAACTATCTGGGAAAGAATCCAAGTGCTGTCAATTTTACCTCTCCTCTCTTGTGTACGATAGCCCAAAATGACTGGGTGAGAAAATTTGAAACAATTTCATGTAGAAAGCTTGGGCAAACGTTTAGTTGAATGCGGAGTATATCCAAACGAAATTTCTAACTCCGTTCAGTAACACGACGACATATACTAAAAGATTAGATATCTACCCCACTTAATTACCCTGGTACACATCATTAACAAATGCATACGGGGTAATTACAAAAATGATTAAATTGGAGAGCGGGCAACATGTTCGACAAAAATTAATTTGATTATAACGTCCTTTATTAACGAAAAATCTGCATCCTGCTGCTGCGCGGTATTAAAAAAAAACTTTTAATGGACTTTCAGCGCTTGAAACGCACAAAAGTTTTTTTTTAAAAAATGATGTTTGATTCTGCAAGGTCGGAACGACTATAGCGGTCTTGCAGCCTTCGTAATTTCATGTCCATACACCCTTTATGTAACGGGGTGAATCGTTACATAACAATTTATAAGAAATTGTTAATAGAATATAACTATAAGAGTTATATTCTCAGAATATTGCCATAAGGACAAATGTTCTGTAGCACTTACGAGTAGTTCCTAATTGGTTGATATAGGCCATTATATCAACCAACGAAGACGCGCCACGACAGACGCACGCAATGAGTGGTGAGCAGATAGTTGATTTACACATTTGTATTTAGACATAGTTAGATGAAGATAAATAGTGATTTATTGCAGACATTAACTATTATAAATACAGTTCTACTTTTTACTCTAACCAAGTACTCGCTTCTTCTTACCGTCTTCCTCTGCACGTACGAGTGTACGTGAAGTTCCGAGGCACTGCCTTATTCTGTCATCAGAATAAGTAGCTTGTACTGTCACCAGTACAAGCTTCAGGGTGCCCCGTTACACCTGGTAGCACTTCGTAGTCCGTCGAAGGACCGCGTTCACATCCAACATGAATATGTTGGATGATGAAGATGACCAAAGCTTTCACGCTACGCGTGACGGCTACCTTCATTTGAGCGATGTCGAATGGGATGCGGTTGAACGGATGGGTTCGACCATGGGCATCCATGCTGTTAGCGTCATGCTAGAGGCTCTCAATAGAGATGCCCAACATGCTACTATCGCCAAGTTCATTCAAAATGAACTTGACGCAGAACGCGAGAAAGTAGCCTTGCTTCACCAACAAGGTTCTCAACAAGCAGAGTTGTTGAGAGAACAGGGTGCTCAACAGTTTGAACTGTTGAGACAGCAGCAGGCTGCTGCTGGCGGGTCGATGCACTCGCGTCGACCCGAGACCTTGAAAATTGACATCTCCAAGTATAGGGGAGTCGAAGAGGACTCCCTCTTGAGATGGTTCGTCAAATTAGACGACGCCATAAGGGCGCGTCGCATGGACGACGGGGATATGCAAGTTGCATTTGCCCAGTCAAATCTGGCAGGGCGTGCCAAGACTTGGGCACTGGGGCTCAAGTTGCACGACCCATATGCGTTTGGGTCGTTGGAAGTCTTCAAGTCGCGGCTCAGACATACGTTTGAACCGCCTAGAGCTGAGTTCAGAGCTCGAACTGAACTCTTGAAGCTCAAGCAAGGTAATCGTGACGTGCACGCTTACGCGCAACATATACGACATCTCACAAGTTGTATAAGCTCCAACCCGGTTGATGAACACACGTTGGTTTCAGTGTTCACGCAGGGTCTTGCGGATGCTCCCGTCAAGACTCACCTGTTCCGGCTTGAACTAGATTCACTAGAACAAGCAATTTCCATTGCGGAACAGGAAGACTTCAGTCTGAGACAGGCTCGCGCCAGCTCGACATCGTATCGTCAACCGAGACGATATGACAACGGAGGTCCAGAGCCGATGGAACTCTGTTATGTAGATAGCGAGAAGGCTCGCTCTACCGACTACAAGAAGTTGCAGAAATGCAACAGATGTCAAAAGACGGGATACTACGCTTACGAGTGTAGTGCCCCTCGTCCAGTGTCTCACAACACTGGGCGTAGTGACCGTCCACCCATGAGAAAGGGGCAGGGACGAGGGTCCGCGGTTGGTGCAAAGACGCAACAACGGGATGGACCGTCAAAAAACGGACAGGATCAGTAGGTGCGGAGCACCCTACTTGCCCAGCAACGTCAAGAGAATTTGTAGGCCTCTTGATGAAGGTTGCTCCCAACACACAAACGTTTTGCGTTGCTGCTCTAGGTAATGAGATCTCACTCATTACCTTGAAACTTGAAGTGACAAATAAGTTTTCCCTTCGAGCTCTAGTCGATCGTGGGGCGTCCAACAATTTTGTGCGACGCCAATCGCTAGAAGATGGTCACTTTAAATTCAGTGAATGTGACACACCTCCTACGAGGATGACGGTACGTCTTGCGACAGGCGCATCCGTAACCGTCATGAAGCGTATAGTGAAGATCCACTATACGCTAGAAGATACCCAATATGACGATGACTTTATCGTATTGGATTTGGATGACAAATTTGATGTCATCCTTGGAATACCGTGGCTCAGAAGGTACGAACCACGGGTAAACTGGCAACATCGAACAGTAACGATACCTGCCGCTTGTTCATCAGATGGCCATCTGATGAACGTTTTGGAGCGTCCACAAGCGTATGGATGTGCTACGAGTGAGTGCGATGGCCTTACTTGTGGTACGGTCGTTAGTACGACTGCACAAAACCTTAGTGCAACAAACGGTTACACTGCGGAGCAAAGTTCCGGCGGCTGTGAGGAAACACAGGCTACGCCGAAGGTCCACCACTCGAATAAGTCGAGTAGACCGGGACAAAGATGTATCCCTAGCAGGGAACATCTAGAAGAGAAACAATCGATTGCTCAGGTTAAGCGAAACGATAATCCTAGATCGACTGGAAAGTCTTTCGTAGAGGATCTCGCTGTGGTTGCGCAACCCCAGCTAGAGGAAGTTAAGGGAATAAGTCTCGATATTGTAAATACGGTGGAAATAAGTTCCCCGAAATCCGCGGGAATAAGTCCCAGGGAAGCCGAAGGAATAAGTCCTTCAAGGCCTGAGGGAATAAGTCCCCAGGAAATGACAGAGACATTGAATGTCATAGTCAATAACGGATCAAGTGTAGGGGCTATACACTTGATCTGATTGCGCCTCCGAAGTTGACTTCGGAGATCACTCAGTTGCCAACGCTCGAACATAAAAGGTTCTTGCGTGATCTGCGTAGTGGCAAAGTCAAGCAGATCTTCGTACTCGTCGCTGACGACGAGTATGTAGCCGACATAAGGTCAGCAACAGTGTTTACTGAGAACGAGAGAGTTTTCAGTAGTTCATCTATGGACGAGAGTGTCCTGGATGAAAAGACACGAGTTGAGCGATATGACTCCCAATCGTGGGAATCGCTCAAGACAAATCCTCTCTATGAAGCTTTGGTTGAATTCAAGGATGTATTCCCTGAAACTGTTCCGTGCGAATTACCGAAGGATAAAGGTATTCGACACGAGGTCGAGCTTAAACCAGGCTCGAAGTACTGTGCCATGAAGCAGTGGTCACTGCCTCGTGAACAAGTACTTGCGATCGACCAGTTCTTTGCCGATCGCTTAGCTGCGGGCCATGTGAGGTAATCAACTTCCTCACATAGCTCTCCGACCTTCTGTGTGCGAAAAGCAACAGGAGGGTGGCGGATAGTGCATGCATTTAACAAGTTGGACGCTGCAACGGTACCGGCTCAACACCGATACCAAGGAAGGACGTAATCATTGATGGTGTGTCAAAGAGTACCATCTTTTCGTCCATGGATTTGATGGATGGCTTCTATCAAATCCTTATGCGAGAACGGGATATACCCTATACCGCAGTTAGCACGCCTAGCGGCATGCTCTGGGAATGGCTAGTAATGTCACAAGGGCTTAGTAATGCCCCTGCCACGTTCAACAGATGTGTATCACATCTGTTGAGACCATTACGAGAATTCGCGCCGAGTTATTTCGATGACGTATTCATCCATAGTCGGGCTATGGATGGAAAGTCGGACGTTGAGGTTCACAGGTACCACGTCCGACAGGTTCTTACAATCAT